AGAGATCTGGCGAGCCACATTATTTTTGTCAAAGCCATAGGTTCCCGACCCCTGTAGTGAAGATAATCAGAGTATGTGCGCACATATTACCTAAACCACATATATGTTTTCGATTTTTAAAATAAAAACAAAATGGGTTGTGTTTTATTGTAATGCGTGTACTCCTTGCATGAACCACATTTTTGTGAGCCTATATTTTAAATGGAATAGAAAAGAGGCAATGCTGTTTGATATAATATTTAGTTTCACTGTAATGGATGTCGTTCCCTCAACATAGCATCTCGAGGCCATGACATAACCCAGCAAAAATTTGGACGTTTAATGACCGTCGAAAATACGTCCCTCCGTCACGTCCCGTCATGGTTGAAAAATAGTTCCAAAATTAAAGTTGAACGGACGTCGTCTGGCCGTAAATTCCACGTCTTTTCTGCGCGTCCCTGGACGTCTAAATGTGTCATCATCTGGATGTTTATAAGAGGTGTTGCTGCATAATTTAAGTATAAGCCTGCATATAAAATAATCACACACCCATTGTGCAACATCGTGAAAGGCACATCTGAACTTGACAAATGTTCTAAAAAGGTCCAAAATCGGTCCAGTCAGACCTGAACGTCTATAAAACGTTTTAATCACGTATATCACTAACAATAACACATTTGTGGACTAAAATAAAAATAATTGTGTGAGTAATCCCAAACCAATGGCGCTGTCTCAAACTATACCTACCTTTCCCGGGTTGTCTGCATTGTCGTTGTGTTTTCTGACTTGTTAATTTGTTTTCGGATTTGTCGTTGTGTTTTCTGACTTGTTATAATGTTTTCTGAATTGTTGTTGTGCTTTCTGAATTGTTATTTTGTTTTTTAGACTTGCATTTGCGTTTGTAATTTGTTATTTTGTTTTAAGAATTGTGATCTGCTTTGCACTTTACGGCCACCGTACACCAGCTCTTCCAGGAGTGAGAGTCATGTGTTCCACCATTGATGCATGGAAGTCAGAGCTGTGGCAGTACTAATCCCCCCCCCCCCCCCTTTTTAACCAACT